TTCAGCAGTTAGAATGAATCATCATCATTCAGCACTTTGGAGCTTTGCTCTCCCTTCTGGATCTGATTCCTTGTGACACAGGACAATATGCTCAATGCCAGTGATATGCTGTGTGTGTTTCTCAATGAGCATTTGCCACAACATTGTCTCTTTTCTCCTCCTCTGCTAGATGAGTTTACATGCTTGAGTTTAGATGTTGAACTTGAACTGTCCCAAGTGAAAGAAAGAAACATTTTAGTTAGGCATCTTGGACAATATTTTCTTTCCTCCTTCAACTGTTGTATCCAGTTATCATTAGTTATAGCTCAAGATTGAAGAGGGAGCAGAAGTTGCCAGAGAAGAAAAAAGGGTAATATCCTTAAGTGTATGTAACATTTGTCCAAATGCCTATTATTGTGTTAAGTAAACTCATTAAATCAACCATAATTTGTTTGGATTAATGATAACTCAGAATTAGTAAATGCAGAATCATGAAAAAAATGAGCATCTTGTTTAGCATCTTATGTCTTGGTAAATGAGAAAATAAAAAATAGAGCTGGTATTTATGCAGGAAATGCATCCACGTGCCAAACCAGGAAGTGCCTCTTTTCTAGTGCTACATGGGCTTCCAGGAGAAGAATGGTTCCATTGTGGAATGGTGTGAGAACTGGCACTATCTGCTGCCTTGATGGTTCTTTATGGAGTGGCCTTTGGCTGCACTGTCAGGCTGCCCTTTGAGTGTTTCAGCAAGATGCAGAGAACACAGTAAGTCTTCAATCACATTCCTTCTTCCCCCCTTAGAAGATTATATTGTTTTTTGTGCCTGCCCATTTTGTTCAGGGCAGGCCATTTTGTGTTACAAACATCTCTGCAATATAATTCACCTGGAAGAAAAACTGGGGGAATGTACTTTGCCTTTCTGAATGCCTTTCCTCTTGTCTATATTCCATGAGGCAAAGGGTATTTTGTTCTTTCTGTATTGTAATGAGGGGAGGAAATGTGGCTCTAAATATAGATCTCATCCTGGATGCATACGTAACTGAGTACTCTTGCACCTGCTCAGCAAGTAAACACATTCATTTCTCTCCTATTGTCACGTCCCTGCAAGCTGTAAGTGATGGGTAACAGGGATTTTCTTTTAGATAATGTTTTAACAAGAAGCAAAATGGAGAGACAGCTGCTGTCTGATACTTAAACACAGACTGGAGTTTCACTGACCTGCAGAATGGACTGGATACAGTAGGAATCATATAACAAATCCCTCCATTTAGACAAAAAGATCCATAACTGCTGCCACAGAGTTCTTCATGACCTTAAAAATAAGACCAAAACAAACACAGAGAAAAATAGAGACTTCAGAACCAAAACCCACCTAGACAAAGCACCACACAAACAAAACCACCCTGGGAACAAATAAGGTGTGGTTCTGCCTTCCAGGCCGTTGGCATACAGCACTACCTTGCACAACTGTCTTGTATAACAATGCAGAAAAGATCACAAATTCATCCCCTCATCAGACATGAAGCACCTAAATGATATGAATAAATCAAACTTTCTCTGGCAGTGAGAGGAACTTTGAACCCTCTCTTCATTTGCCTTTCATGACCACTCACCATACTGAGGACTGATTCACACGACCTGTGTGGTCTGGTTTGCCCTGTTCCCGTGGCACAAACTATCTTTAGCTTAACTACCTTCTGCAAGAGAATCAGTGAGTACAGAGGCACCAGAACAGTCTCAGGTGTGGACCAGGACATTCTGAGACTGCTCCAGGCTGTGCTAAGAGCTGAATCATAGCACAGTTGGATACCACCAGGTTTTCCTGTCCCAATTCTTAATGACCAGTGGAGAGGACAGCCTGACAGTCACTGAGGGGCAAGATTGCTGGTTGCAGTGCAATTTCCACAGATCTCAAAAAGGCTTTTTCCTAACTCAATAGGCTTCTTAGATGAATTGTTAGCATGCTAAACATAATTAGGCATCCTAATTACCCCCCAAATGCAGGACACTAGTTTTGGCACTTGTAGCAGCAGTTGTCCATTTTCGGTTTAAAAAGCATATCTAACTGTACCACCTCAGTCTTTTTGCAAGCAGCCTAAATTTGGAAGATGGACTGCATATATTTATGGCACACTTAATGCATCAGTTACTTGTTTTAAATATATGCATATATATTTTTATATATTTCTTCCATCTTATGAAACCACAGGATCTCCATCACAACAAAAATAGAGCAGTCTTCTGACATCACAAGGGTGAGAATCATGTGTTACCTCACATTTTAGGTGTTCTTGCTGCTATTTCTCCCAGAAGTTCTGCAAATAAGAGTTCTGCTGTCTCACTGTTTATGTAGAGAAGACAGTTTCTGTACAAAATATAGTGTTGTTTAAGAGGAATCCAGATTTTGGTTAACTTATGTGTCTATCAAGAAAAAGAGTTAGGAATCCCCTTTATTCCTGCAGAAAACAAGTGAGAAGTGTGACTGTAAGACATCCTACCCTAGAGGGAGCTTCTATATTTGTATATAAAATAAACCTGACTTTTCTAAGAGTAGCAGAAACACTTAGCTACTTCTTACTCTGTGCAACAAAACTATGGTGCATCCTGCTCTGTCCTCTAGCCCATCTCTAGCAATTCCACTCTCCCTTTTTCTCATACATTCTTCCATTTTTGTGATGGCATATTGATCATAGAATCATAGAATTTAGGAGTTGGAATGGACCTTACAGATCATTTCGTCCCAACCCCTGCCCTGGGCAGGGACATCTCCTCACTAGATCAGGATGCTTAAGGCTTCATCCAGCCTGGCCTTGAATACTGCCAGGGTTGGGGCAGCCACCACGTCCCTGGGCAACCTGTGCCAGTGTCTCACCACCCTTAGAATAAAAAGCTTTTTTCTCACATCCAATCTAGACTAGGAATAAAATGGAAATGGGGAAAAAAAAGGTTTTTAAACAACGTTATTTTAGTCTATTCAAACATGACAGTGGACCCTCTGTGACACACTGTCATTCAGTTGGAGGCCACATCCTTCTTTAAATGGAGAGGTACCGAGTGCATGAACAGTGTATCAAGGTATTTATACAAGAATCAAGTGAGAAAAACAAAACTCTCAACTTTGACCTGCTCTCAACTCTATTAAGCGTCTGCTGAAATTCTACCAGATGGAAAAGCAAGATGATAGAAGGTAGAGCCCACAGAAAAGTCCTTTTACACAGTTTGTGTAAAGCTTTCAAAGAAATTCTCAGGAGAATTTGTTCAACTCCTCAAAGCCCTGCCTTATGCTTCTATTCCTTTTCTTCACCGTCACGCAGGAGTAGACCTGTCTCACACTGGCACAGTGGCAGAGCACTGAGGAAAGCTAAATGCCTGGAGTCATTCAGGTCTGGGAACATTTGGGAGAATGATTCTCTCACTGTCAGGGTGTGATCCTTGTCTTAAGGACCAGCTCTGCAGTCCAGTGAGGCATTTCTGTTCTGGCCAACTACCTGAGGCACTCTGTGTTAGGCCTGTTAGAGACAGAACAAGAAGTGCCTGGGAAGCCTTTGAAACCTTTCTGATTGTAATTACAGACAATTTCTCCATAGGCTATTTCTTTCCAGAGATAGACTTTGGTGGGTTTTTTCCCCAGTGCTAAGGGAAAAATGGTAACCTTAATTTTACCAGCAATGAGAAACTTGAAGTAACCTTTATATCCATCTGGATCAGGTGACTCATTTTCCATCCAGTTGTGCTTTTCATTAGTTCTATTTTCTCTATTAGTGCTTTGCTACTACTTAGTGAAAGTATAAGGATAATACAGTATAAAGTAGATGATGAATTAGGAGAGACAATCGAAAAAAATTTCAGATGCTGTAACAGTAGAAAAAAATGATCACTAGTGAATTGTAATTTGCTCTGATACAAAAATAGATATTATTGTACTCCTTCCCTACTGTACTAAAACACAGTCACTTGCAGCAAATTCAAAAGCTACAGCTCTGCATTTCTAGGCAGGACAGTGTGAAAGCTCCAGTTTATCCCTTTAAATTCAGAGTCAGTGATGCAGAAGAGCATACTGGAGCATCAGAAGGGCTTCGACACCAGCCAAATCCCAATTACATTAGCATCGGTGAATGTGTGATGATTTTTCATGAGGTAAGTCAATACATTCTATTAATCTAAAAATGCTAATTGTATGCTTTGAAAGTCAAATGTATACTACTTTCAGACTCCATAATCAAGATAGAAAAGTTTGAACAAGTCAAGTGATGATAGGCAATGAAAAGATTACAAAAGATTTAGCTTTGAAATTAATTGAACTCTATCAGTGTATGTTGTACATAATGTGTATGTGTGGGTTTGATACATCCTTCCATGTGGGAGATAAAAGAGAGGTAGGACACAAAAGTTACTTTTTAAAAAAGTTGGATTTTGGTGGGAGGAGAAGTGGAATGAAATGAGGGTGTTCTTTCTATTGCTAGACCATGGACACTTAGAACTGACTGAGGAAACAGTAGCCTCTAACGCACTGATTCTTAATTTTTCCTTTTGAGAACATACCTGTGTCCTGGCTCCAGCTGGGATAGAGTCAGTTTTCTTCTTAGCAGCTGGTACAGTGCTGTGTCCCTAAACTATCTTGTCTGTTTGCATTTGAACTTTTGTGTCCTGACTGTCCTAGGTATTCAAAAGAAAACAAATACAGGCTCAACAGCACCTTAACCCTCAAAGAGCCAAGCCAGCCTTGATAATCCACATGTTGGCTCAGCTGTCTTGCCTAGTCCAGGGGCTAAAATACTAGACTGTCTAATCCTGAAGTCTGCTAAAACAAAAAGGAAAGGGGGAGGAGTGGGAAGTGCTGACAGGAGACAAAAGGGGGCTGATGTATGATTCCTCCCAACCAGCTCTGGACTGTATGTGAATCAGTCACAAACTGGGAAATACTGGGATTGATCAAAGCAAACGTCTCCTTATAGAATTTGTCCTACTGGCTGCTGAACTCTAATGAGTGATGACAGGAGCAGTTGTGACAATCCCAATGACAGCTCTCAAAATCATTGCCACGTTAATGAGTTCTGATTATACATGTGCATATATCCAAGTAAAGACTTGGAAAAAGTTACCTGTTCGCATATTATTCCAACAACAACTTTTATTCCTGGTCAGAGGCTTATTCTTCTGGAATGGTACCTGAAGACAAACATACAAATTGAGCATGACATCCTTAAACCTGGTGACTTTTCCCCCTGAAAAATAGCTGTTGGAGTGCAGCTCTGTGTTGCTGGTAAGACATTTTTTTGCAGAAAGTCATCTACTGTTATATGGAAGTGAATGACAAACACTCAGGTGTCATGGCAAGTTCAGCAAGTCCCTAAAGGCAGAGTAAAACCAAATTCACACTGAGGCATGTTCAAACAGTGAATTCTGCCATGCTTGTTCAGAATTGTAATACATGATGCATTTAGGCAATTGAAGGGATTGTTTCTGGCAAGTTAATTAGTTTGCCATTTGTACCCTGAAAAATGGTACATACCACAGCACCAGCCCTCAGACTGGTAATTATTCCATCAGGTAAGGTCTTTGTGGTGGAATTCTTGCATTGCACAAACAAGAATTTCCCAATTTGTCATTTCTCTGAGACAATGTGTGTGTTTCACTTGAGTGTTTCTCATGTCTGGATATCAGGTGAAATTAGTAATAGAGGCCATGGATTTACCAGAACTCAGCAAGGTCAAGGCTTGTATGATGACTTTGAAAGTATGGAATAGAAACTCTCTGCCTAGGCAGAAACCAATCTTCACTTGACATTGCTAAAGGAAACTTATTCTGTAGACATGCTCTAGAACCATCTAACTTGGCTATATTCTGTTTTCTTGTTAGGTATAGTCAAGGGTTTACTGTACCAAGTAGGTCACTGAACAAGCTTAATGTAATAGATCATATTTTTTCATGTTTGCTCTTTTGTTCTTAATTATACTTTAAAGTGTAGGTAAAGTATTTAAGCAAACTGTCACATACATCAAGGTTGGAAGAGACCTTTAAGATCATCAAGTCCACCCAGTAACTTGTCATTGCTGTAACCCCTAAACCAGATCCTCCAGTGCCATATCCAGACACCTCTTAAACACTTCCAGGGATGGTGACTCCACCACCTCCCAGGGCAACCTACTGCAGTGCCTGAACATACAAACTGGGAAAAAACTCTTCCTAACATCTAATCTGACTCTCCCCTGTCTCAGCTCATGGCCATTCCCTCCCTGCAGCCATGGCAGGAGAGATCATCCCCCACCTCTCTACAACCCCCTGTCAGGTAGTTGTACAGAGCCATGAGGT